ATATACATAAATTAGGTAAATGAAACAGTGAAAGTAATAATTACAAATAATTATAGTAAGTTATTATTTTAAATTTAATTAATTGAAATTTAAAATTAGTTGATTCACTATGTATAATTACTGAATAATAATATTGCATACACAAATAATCTCAATAATTTAATTTTTTTTAAATAAAAATTTTATTGAATGTAAATTATTTTTTCTAAGACAATTCTAATAAATTTGAGTACATATGTTTTAAATGTGTTGATTTTTAATAGATACGATTCTTTGTTTGCAGTAATTAATTATTAATTACAATCTTTGAGGGATTTCCCTATACCGACAATTCATTCTAAACGAAAATAAAATTATTACACACGTTCTTATAAAAAGGACTGTTAAGCAGAAATCTTTGAGATCCGATATGTCAGAAATAGTTGTAAAATCCTTAGAAATCCGTATATTCTACGCGACAGACAATTTATACGCGATTTGTATTTTGTACATCATGAAATTTTTACCATTCAAGTGTTAGCTATGCTAGTGTTTTTTTTTTGTGTTACCCTACTATCGTTGAACAGTGAAAGTAAAATAAAACAATTTTTTCAAACGGCTACTTCTGCATAATAGAAGGACATTAGACATACATTTTTCACGAGAAAGATAATTCAAAGGAATTAAAGTCCATAGGGTACGCGTAGTGATAAAAATTGTCACGTGCCATATTTTTCCCTCAACAAATGAATTCTTATATCGTCAAGTCCCATAATTCATTTAAACGTTTATTCATGACATCTTCTGAAGTATTTATTAACTCAGGTTGAAGTGAATCAAATAACAATTGTATAATTCATTACACGGCATAACGGTTTATGTCATGTTTGAGTATAAGTATACGTGTCATAAATTGAAACTGCATGACATTTTTGCACTTTTTATTTTACGGATACTTAGTTCTATACTATGATTTATCATTATTATAGTATGAATAACGTTATTTTGATATTTTGTGATCAGCACGTAAAATACTATTATTAATATTTCTTTTTCTTTACTTAAAACTATTTTGCAATGTCAATTAGAATTTTATAAATAAACTATAAGAAGAAAATTGGGGTTAAAAAATGTCAACTAAATTTTTTGGTATTGTTTAAAATGTTTGAAATAGATACCCTCAAAACGAATATTGTAGTTCCGGAAACGATGACGAATTTTTAATGTAAAATAAATAATTAGTAAAAATACTGAAAACATAGAAAGATTAATTATTGGTATAGTCCAGAGTATATTTATAGTTTTATGATAATTTGACAAAGACATTTTATAGTAGACTTATGTTGTGAATCTAATTACTTTTAATTTAAAAATGAAAGACAATTAATGAAAAATAATGTATAAATGATTCAGAAAATACGAGACTTGAATAAACTAATTGAATAGGTAGATACTAATTATAATTATTTAAAATGCATAGGAAGTTTTTGGCGTGGTAAAAATGTACATATTTTAAATGTCTCCAAATTAATGTCATAAAATATTTAGCGATTATTAATTTTCTTACATATCTATATTTAGTATATGTATACATAATGTGCACAACTATAAAATTATAAACATGGATTGATTACTTTATTTTTTATAAATAAAAAGTTAATACTGAACCTTGTTGATTTATAAAATGCTATATTATTAAAAACACTAATATTTTGCATTCAATAAATATTATTTTCTATAAATAATTGGTTTATATTACTTATATATTTATTTTATTTGCTGTTCTTATCAGTGAAATAATGTTTATTAAAAAAAAAATTAAATTATTAAGTTATTTTTTCTAAATAAAATATATTAATATTAATAAAGTTATTTGGTAGTAATTCTGTTATATTATTTAAAAAGCGTTACGATACTAATGAATTATCTAAAATGTAATATTAATTAATTTAATTTTTATTTCAATTGTTATTTTTTAACTATTACAAATATTAAGAAAATACAAATTAATGTTGGTACTATTATTATGATCGAAAATAATATAAATACATTTTTGAAAAAGTTTAACAGATAACCTGATTGGACAAATAAATGTGTAACAAAAACTTAATTAATCTATGAAAGGAACAAAAACAAATTTTTCACAGCAGTAATCCTGAACTTTGAGATTGTAAATTGTTCATACGTATTACTTAACTAAAACAACACGTCGAAGATTAAACATATATTGATCGAACTCGATTTTTTTTTTACTACCACTGTTGTTATAAGTTACAATGGATAATTTAGTAAGTAATTAATTTTTAAAATAATCAATTTTTGCATTTTGTTTTCAATGAGACACCGCATCATTTTTAAGTACATTTTTTTTAAATAGTAGTTAATTTTATTTGTAATGAGAATAATTTTCTTTGGTGATTTATTAAAATAAGTATTTTTAGATAATTAATTTTTAATTTTTTAAATTGATAAATTAGAGTTGTTGAAGTAAACTAAAGTATAAGATTTATATGTACTTGAAATGAATATTATTTATGATAGTTGTATTATTGTTTTATTATTAAGTGTATTTGTAGTTATTTATAAATACCATTTTTCTTTAATTTTTTTTATTTTTAATAATTAACAGTTTAAAATGGCATATTTTTATTGTAAATATAGATAAAATTTTTTATTGTATTTTATGGTTCGTATACATTATCTTATACTAATTTAATGATCACGTGGCCAATTGATTGTTATGAAAGATATGACTGTAATATAATATATAGTAGAATAACATTTTTCATTTAAAACCATATCCTATGTCTACATTGGTATATAATTTGGTAGCTATTCAGCAAATAAAACCACTAATAATATAATTTTAGAATTTTTTCAATTTTGAACTGGAAATTGTAAGTAACTATTACTTAATAGAAAAAATTAGGTGCTGTTAAGGTTGAAAGTACTTAGAATTAAGATAAAATATTACGTATATATTTGAAATTATTTTGGAATACAAAAATTAAAAATAATAATTTATAAAAATCACGTCAGTGAAAAATTATCTACATTTTTAAGTATTAATAATTAATACTTTTTATACAAAAAAAGAAGATGAGGTACATTTATTATCTAAATAAATACATAAAAATATAATTAAAATTACTGGTTTATTATATTGTTATTATTGAGCTATAATTATAGTTTTTGATAGAAAGTTATTTTATATAAAAAAAGGTCACTTATATAAATTCAAAATTGTAATCGATGATATATTGTAATTCACGATATCTTTTACTGATCATTATTATTTGATCAAGGAAACATTTTTGAAAATATTTGTTCATTATATAATAAACTTATACATATTATACATTTATAATTTGTTTAGGAAATTTAAAATAAATACCTTTATACATAATACATATAAATATATATATAAGTATAGTAAGTATATATAAGTATATATATATAATAAGTATATATAAATTGTTAATTTTATTTTATATTTTAAAATTAAGTAAATACATCGTATTTAAACTAATTGCTGCCACTTTTCATGATTTTAAAGACTTTGAAGAAAAAAAAAATAATGGATTATTTACTTTTTACTTTCCACTTATAATATTGTAATTATTTGTTGGATTTCACATATTTGCTAAAGGTAATTGTTATATTATAATGAACACATTTCAATGTTTTAATGTATTTTTCTAAATCACAATGCACTATAATATATTAATTGTCAAATAAAAATATAAATAAGAATTTTGAAAATTCATAATTTAAATTTAACTTAAACTATGAAAAATAAAGTATAAGTTATAACAATTATTATCAAGATTAAGACGGTAATAAGAACTATCATAAAAAATAATTTTATTTTAGATTTCTATAATTATAATCGTTGATTGATATACCAGAATATATACATTAAAAATATATTTATTATGATAGCAAATATTTTGTTATGAGTAGTATATTGTATGGTTTTTTTTTATAATTTAGGAGTTTCCTTATATATTTTTTCTAAAATATTTCCTAGGCTTTGAACTATAGTTAAACTGTGTATAAAAAAAAAATAATACACAATATAATAATTAAAAGATGATAAAAATAGAGTAAATATACCAATTACAATTATTATAATCTAAGTTGAAAAATGCAATGCATCCTGAATAAAAATAAAAAATATGTGTTATTTAGATTTTAAAACAATATCCTAATGTCACATTTTTTCATAGGTTTTTTTTGCTTATAAATTAAATAAGATTTTAAAAGGATTGGTACATTTTTATTTAATATTTTAATATTAATTTGTATTTCATTTTAAATTGTTGAAAATATTTAAACCATTTACTTTGTATTTTTATATAACATTCATATTGTTTTATTTGCACCAAATAGTTAGTAGAAAGGCAAAGGATAAGAAGAAGAAGAAGAATATTTATTTTGTTTTATTCGGTTTTACTCGTAATATTGTATTTAAATAGTAACTGTTAATTGCTGTAAATTAAATTTGGATTAATTATTTTTATTGAAATTAGTTGTAAAATTTTATAAAACATTTAATCATAAATAAATTATTTAATAGCTTATTTATTAATTAAAATATATTTATACCAGTAAACAGGCTAATTATTTTTAAACATATATTTGGTGAATATTATAATACATTATTTGGGAATATTCAATTTCAACGAATTCGTATACGAAATTGGGAAAGACATTTTTCATTATTTATTTGGTTTTGATAGAAAAATGTAGATGTGAAGAACAAAATTATCAAAATATAATTGATTTTTCAAATATCTTGATTGATGAAAAAAAAATAACTGATAATAATATTTGATTTATAATTGATGAAAATCTCAGAAGTATAGGGCTATTGAATATTAAATTATATGTTTCTCGGTTTGTAAAATACTCTTACGTTTTAAACGAAACAAAATGTGTGCGACTAAAAACACTTTTGTAATATAAAGAGGCATTATATTTTTAATACAAAAATTAACATTGCACAATTAATAACTCACGTTTTGCTGCTCCGTTATCCACTGAAAATATTATAACAACTGCCAATAATACCATACATAAATAACACGTTGATGCGACTTGTGGTCTCGAATACATGGTTATACTATGCATTTGCACAAACACTGATAGTCAATCGTCAAAATGAGCTTTTGCCCCGAAAGTGACCTGCAACATCGTAAACGCAAGTCTTTTATACCTTCCTCCCCTATTTGCTCACACCCTGTTTGTGTGCGTGTAGGCGAGACTCGTCGGCATAAACTAAAACATTTTCTCCATTCACAACAGTGTCAGTGATTTTAAGAGTGGTGTTTAATTAAAAAACGATTAATTTATATTTTTTATAGTTAATTGTATTTACATATTATATCATTGATTATTATACTAAATTATATTTAAGCAAATAAAACACACATACACACAGAAATACTCATATAAAATAATAAATTTTCTTTATGGATTTAATTTCAAGCGTATGGTTGTGCAAAAAAAAAATAGATAGTTGTATCAGTATAAATTATTATACTTTAATATCTTATGTATTAATAAAGTATACAAATCCTGGTTACAATTGATGATTTGCTTTAAATTTGTAATTACAGTATCATTTTATACTCGTTCAAGATTAAATATTTTATTTTAAAATTCTATATATTTTTTATATGACTGAATTTTTGTAAGCAATCAATTTTAAATTTACCCAACAAATATGAGAATGATTTGTTATTGTTTTGTAAACACAATTTATTCAAATAGGTTAACAAATCAGCAATGAATCTGTACTATTTATATATTCCTAAATAATTATATTTTTCCAAAGGTTAACTCTTAATTTTCTTCTACATTTTCATCACATAGTACAGGTACCACATTATTTTACACTCTCGTAAACCCTAAAATGTTTCTATTTATTTAATGGACATATTTATGTTCAGGAATCGCATTGTATTGTTCTTTACTATACATAGATTTAAATGAAAACTCACTAGGGATAACAAAATTGTAATAATAAGAGCATACTATTGTTTGTATTTTTGTAACTTAAAACACATTAAATTATAATTATTCATTAATTAAAAGTTGTTAAACATATTTATTACATTTATGAAATCATATTATTATTATTTATATCTAAGTTTTAAATAATATGCACGTGTATGTATATAAAATTTAAATTAATTTTAACATATTTGATAACATTTGCTCTGCTTAGGTAAATCTAATAATATATATGACCAAAACTAAAAAACAATTTTAAACAATTTTTTTTTTAGGTTATATATTTGATTAAAATTGCTTGATGGTCACTTACTTCATTTACATGTAATTATAATAATAATAAATAAAAAAATCAAAAAAGATTGTTCCAGAGAAACTCTGTTTACTAAAGTGTGAGAACTTTTAAAATTTCTAATTGCTCATAAAAATATTTAAGATTGAAAAAATAATTTTATTTCAATATTTATTTATAGATTTATACTTATTATTAGAATATTACCTATTAAATGTATGATTAATAATATATTAGTACATGTAAACAAATATACAATTAAATGAGAAAAATGTATTTTTTTTATTTTTATTATTTTCTATGTAAATTATTTTCAATTAATAACTAATTACTAAAGTTTTTCAATCACTACCAGACATATTATTGATACGTCATTTGCACATTGTTTTTATAGAGATTTAAAACAGAACAATAACCTTTCAACACTAAGTAACGTGTTTAAATACTAAATATATAGTTAATAAATTTAAATAGCTGTAGGTATTAAATCGTATAAAATTTTTAGCGAGTAAAATATTTGGTAATTATTCGTTATATGTTTCAAAATTATGTTTCGAATAATATAAATAGGTATTTAGTGTTAGTATTTAAATTTAATACACTTGTTTAATTTTGAAAATTTAGATAAATATAGTAAGTGAGTAAATACAATAATTGATTTGGCCATGGTAGATATAGCAATGGAATCATTAAATTTAAAAACAATTATCAATTTTTGAATTTGAAAAACAATTATGAAGGTCGGTATACTAAGTAAAGTATAATAAGTTAGGAGTAAATATACAAATTTTTAAAATAATAAAGTACGTTAAGTTTAATAATATATAGATTTACATTGTTTAAATTAATTGTAATTATTCTAGAATATTCAGTGTAGTTATTTATTAGGCTTAGGGACTTCTAGCTCTGAAGAATATGCAAATATGCTTTGAAAAAGAACTAAATATGCATTAAAATAAACTTTAATGTTTTTTTTATTTGACTGAAAAATTGACATATATGGCATATTTATTATTATTGGTGGTATTTACGTAAAAAATGTGTTTTCATTATTGTGAAAGTTATTAATCAAACTCAATGCTTGGTTATGTGCCTAACATATAAAGTGGAACAATATATGAGTTAACAATAAATTTAAATTATTTAAATATTTCTCTATTTTTTCTTATGTTTTCAAACTTAAATCTGTGGTGATTATTTGATTGCAAATTTTTATATTTTGAAAAGCTTCATTCTATCTATACGTCGATGGAAGAAAGTGGTGCATACTTAAAAAATACTAGATAATTTGTTAGATCTCCATGCAGTTAAAAAAATAATATGTGGCATACAATAAGATATATTAGTAGGTATGTTATAATTTGCCATTTTATAACATTTAAAAGCTATATACTGCTAAAATATACTCTAAATATTAAAAACACTAAAATATGCGAATATATGCAAAATAAAATTTAGGATTTAGATTCTTTGCAACATGAACAGTACTTCTTTCTGATTGCTATTTGCTTAATTTTTTAAATATATATATATGCTAGTTTTTGAGCTGATATAAACTGTATTTGATCAATTTCTATACTTATGAAAATATTTTACTACCAAACAACATATAGAAAGTTAAATTGAATATAATAAACAATAAATATATTAAAACAAATGAAAGTCATAAATTTCAATAGTTTTTTAACAATTTGAAATAGTTTCTGGAATTCTATATTTATAATTATTAGTAAGTATATTTTTTTTCAATCATTTTTTTCTATTTGTTAAATTAAATTTATGTTCTCTACTTATATATTATTATTAAAAAACAACGTATTTATTTCCAATTTCCATTAAAATGAAAAAATTGTATAAATTAATGTGTATAAAAAAAATGAGGCCTATACAAAAGTTTTTTTTTCTTAATTTTAGGAATGAACATAGATTTGATATTATACATAACTACTCGTAGTATAGATATATAGTTGACTTTAAATGTAAATACTATAAAGAAATGAATAAATTCTATATTTACTTGAAGAGTCCTATTTTCAAAGAGTACATAGTTTAGTGAACAAGTCTAAACTAAAGATTAATAACACAATAAAATAAAATATTTAGTTCGATACTCTATGGAATGCATTATTTCTCCTATAGTAGTTTGTCTAATGTAATTAATAATATAAAATGTTGACACTTATTCGTCTGATTCAAATGTATCTTATTTATTTGTTCTTGGATGCGTAATGGCATACCATTAATAATAACATATTATTTATGCAGATATAAATTATTTTTAATTTCTAACTGCAAAAATTATATAATAAAATATGTTTTATCATTTTATGCATTAAGCTTTACAATAAGATATTTCCGTTTCTTTATTTGATTATGTACATTTATAAACATTTAGTGGATGATTTTTTTAAATTATAATTCAATAGTTAAAATGAATAACAAAATAGATTATGTTATCAGTTAAGGTATTCTTTTGAAAATAAAATATTAATAATAAAATAAATAAAATTAAATGTAGTAATAAGTATAAAATAAATTTTAGAGATTTGACGTACTAAAATCTTTAAATATATTTTCATATTTACTGTTACACAAGTCAATATAATTTAGTGTTCATATTTTTTTTTCAAAAATATTACAAACGAAGATCGAAATTTTATACTTATTGTTTATATTTAGATAGAATTCTCTCTCCTGTACAGAGCTGTTTCATATACCATTTAGCTTATTACTGATACTTCTTTTAATAAATTAAATTGTGCATTATGTGTGTTATTTTTACAACGGATTTTTTTAAACCGTATCTATTTACCTATTGTTATTTGTATATAACAACTAATAGCTTAAACGCCATATGTATGTATGTTTTTCAGTCCTTCATAGTTTCAAGAACCTAGACTCAATACATCTACTTATACTTTGTTCATATTTTATAAATCTATTTGACAGCTACGTGGTTTGTGTTAGTGTTAGTATTTAATATGTAATAAGAAATCGATTGGGTCGCATGACAACATTTTACTCATTCGTTTTGTCTCTTTTATTTCAATTTGGTTCGGATTACACCTCTTGGGTCCGTAGATAATCCAATTAAAACATACATGCACCTATAGCGATAGTACGCAAAAAAGAACCAAACATATTGCATAAAAAAACAAATAAATATATATATATACACATATTATACAGTCATTAGTATAACGGGGCCGTTCCGGATCAAAGCGCGTAACAAGTGCCGTCCACTTTTTTCTTTCCTTAAATTATCATAATCACACCTCAAGCAAGTAAGAGACACGAAAGTACGGTTCTTGGTGATTTCTTCGATGTCGACTTGTAATTAGATTCAAAGAAATCGCAATGCCTATTGATTGTGTACATTGCAGCTATATGCTTCGAAGGTAAATCAAATATCTCGTTACAGCCGTAGCAGTGCATTAATATATTTTATTGTAATTTGTAGATCTATTAAGCAATAATTTGCAATGACAATGGAACTAAATAACTAGATGAATATATATTTTATATATTCATATATTTGTACGATTACCAAATATTATTTGTAGATTGATAATTCATCGTTGGAGTAACTAAATTAATTGTTATATAAAAATATGAAAAATGCATTTAATTTATGTTTATTTTTAAAAATAGCGGATATTAATTAAATAATTATCACTCCTTGCTATTTTCTATGTTTGTATTGTATAAGATGAATATTATCAATATAGTCATCTCCTTTTATTTATCCTCCCACTGCAAAAGACGAAATAATCACGATTTACAATAACATATTCTTTCTTTAAAGAAACATATTTTATTGTACATTCGATCTTAAGTTTCAATCAGTAATAAGTTATAACAAAATACAAACATTTCGTTAATTTTTTTGAGAATAACGTATATTAGTGAGTCTATTTTTCAAAATATTTCTGAAGAATAAAGAAAGTCAGAAAATTTGGTAC